ATTCCTCCCTAATATCGAATTCCTGCTTGTCCTGCCCCTCCATCTTGTGAAAAGTCCCTCTCCAGCCTTCCTGAAGCCCCTTCAGGTCCTGGAAAGCTTCTGTAAGTTCCCCTTGGAGCTCTGATGATCCCCAGCATTTCCAGTAGAGCCCTAAAGCCCAGCCCCTCCCTCTAATGGCCTTTTTCTTCTCTTCAGACATAAAAGAAAGAAAGGAAAACACATTTATCAGTCATGCAAAGTGCAGCAGGAAGCTCAGGAGAAGGAAGGAGCTCTGAAGTTCAGAGAGCTTAGGAAAGTTGTGGTTTCCCCATCCTTGGAAGTGTCCCAGGCCAGGCTGGATGGGGCTGGGAGCACCTGGGCCAGTGGAAGGTGTCCCTGCCATGGCAGGGCTGGGATGGGATGAGCTTTAAGCTAAAAAAGTTCCCTTTGAGCAGTTTCGGGCACTTTGGGGAGCTCTGTCTCTGCCCTTCCTCAGCCACCCAGGGAAGATGATCACTCCAAAATCAATTCATTGTCACCAGCACTTCCTCCAAGCCTCGCACACCCCAGCTCTGAGAGCTTTCAGTCGAGCAGCAGCTGGGGAGGAGCAGCCTTTGGGCAGTGCTGGGCTCAGAACTGGGGATCTTCTCCAACCTCAGGGATCCTGTGAAGCTCCAGAGAGCGCACGGCACTGACCTGGAGAAGGGAGAGAAGGGAGAAGTGAGAGAAGGAAGAGAAGGAAGAGAAGGATTTGCCTGGAGAAGGGAGAGAAGGGAGAGGAAGTGAGAGAAGGAAGAGAAGGAAGATAAGGATTTTCCTGGAGAAGGGACTCGGTGTTCTCCTCCTCAGCCCCAGGTAAGGATTTCAGTGCTGACTGGATTTGCATAAGCTCAGAGAGGAAACACAAGCACTGTGTTTGTCCCATGGGCAAACCAGGGAATGGCTGTGGAATCCCAGGGTGGACTGGAATGGGAGGGACCTTCCAGCCCATCCAGTGCCACCCCTGCCATGGTGGACACCTTCCAGAAGTCCAGGAGGAACTGGGCTGGCTCATCCCTGGAAGTGTCCAAGGCCAGGAACAACCTGAGACAGTGGAAATCCCT